TATGGTTCTCGTTTAATCTCAAATCTCCTTTCACACACCATTTATAATTTTAAACTTTTGGTTTTAAAGAAGCTTGATTTTGTTTAAAACATTTAGTCTCATAGTAAACATAAAACTATGGTATTTAAGTAAAATTTATCTACTATTTTCTTCAAAATTAAAAGAAAAAAAAATAAGCGTGCTAAACACGACTTTTTTCAAACATTGGAAAACTATACACTGAATTTCAGAGTTGTTACTTCAATAAATCTGAAAAATTTTAATACACAACTTGTTCTAAATAATTGATTTCCGTAAAATAAGCATGTGTTAAACACGTTAAAACATTTGTGTTCTAAAACATTAATTTAAATATTTTTAAATTAACTTTTTGTTTTAACTACCATAAAATGTTGACCGGTTGCAATATGAAACAATGTGGTGTCAATTTGGTGGAATTCGCGTCAACTTTTATGATCGACGCTATTTTATACATAAAATAGCGTCGCCAAAATTTTTTTTGGTTTATAATTTACTTTTAATGATGCAAGATCATTATTTGAAGAAATTGTGTTTCAAGTACCGGTTAATGGGTTTAATTTTTATTAAAATATAGCCGCAGGCTATTTTAAATGCGAACATTATATACTAATGTTTTTTCCTAAATACTAAATTTTTATACGTAATATGGGGTCAAAATGTATTGCAAGTTATTAAAACATAGTTTATTAGACCATAAGCCTTTTAACATCCTTTTTAAATGTAAATTAGCCATTCTATTTTTGAACTAGTACTTTTTACTCACTAAGAAACAAAATATGCTCTAAATTTAATTAAAACCGGAAAAGTTTATCTCGTTTTTCCTTGCAATTGCATTTTTCCCTTTTCGTTCTTTTTTAAAGAAACATTCTGAGCTCAAAGCAATTGCAGAATATATTTTTTTCTGAAACACTTTCTTTTATTAAAGAAGGTAAGAAAACTAGTTAGCAGAAGAAATTTGGAACCGTGAAAGATTTCGATCATTCAGAATTTTCTTTTTAGGATTAATAAATTAAAAATATATATTAGGGAAGCTTTTAACAAAAACAGGGCTTCTTTTTAAAGTATGTAATTTTGTTTTAATAATTTAAAAAAATCATTTTCTATAAATCATAGAAAAGGAAAGATTCGTTTAGAGTGAAATAATAAGATCACGGTGCAATTTATACCTTAACTTATACCTTAAACTTTAATATGTTGCGACTTTGAGGATTCTTTATGAGATATACTTAACAGTATTTCCTTCCAAGTTGAATGATGGTATCCTGTCATAAAGTTTAGTAGTACGATAGTAAAGCTGAATTTTTGCGCTATATTATGGGGGTAGCGAGTTTGTACCGCTTTATTGTTCAACACACTGAAGCATTTCGAAGAGTGAGGAAGAGTTTCAGCTTAACAGATATAATAATTGGTGCAAACTATCAATTTAGGATATTTAATTATCAATTTATCAAAGTTTTGCAGCAAAATATCTTGTTTAGGCGTACAAAATCAGGAAAACTGATTTAGATTGTCTTCTCCTCATCATTATAAAATATTTTTTTTGTACGCTTTCAATTCTTTGTCACAACAATGCTGTGTAAGTTTTATTTTAATCATCTTTTTGGTGCTCAGAAAAGTTTCTTGAGAAAAAAAAATATTAATTTCAAGAACTTTTGTGCAAATGTTTTGCTGCTCAATGAATACTGAATTTGATGCAATTATTAAAATATATATTGCTTCTTAAGATTTGTAATTTAATTTAAAGAAAATGTAATTTAATTTAAAAAATGTAATTTTATTTAAAAAATGTAATTTAATACAAAGTCAAAAAAAAAAAAAAAAAAAAAAAACCAAAAAAAAAAAAAAAAAAAAAAAAAAAAAAAAAAAAAAAAAAAANAAAAAAAAAAAAAAAAAAAAAAAACCCAAGAAAAAAAGAAAGAAAAAAACAGCAGGAAACAACAAAATGCATAAAAAAACACCAAGAATCCACCGACAATAGCACAAATCAAAAATATAAATAAAAAATGTAAATTAAAAATAGAAAGCACTGACAAGATGCTAGCTTCTTTAGGGGGACATTACTATGCACTCAGATCAGAAGCAGTTTCTTCAGGCTGATGGAAAATGCCACAAACAAACAAACAATTAAACAAACAAACAAGAAACACGAGCAAGTAAGATGAAGATTATTTATACTGAAACATTGAAAATCGAAGAAGAAGTATATATATTCGATGGAAGGAAGCCTCGATCTTTAAGATGAAAGTCAAATGTCGCTGATACGAGCATTGAGTTAGTTAATAAATAAAGCCACTTAATGGAAAACCCGAAATCATAAGTTTGGGAAGATAAAAATTCGAACTTCGATTTTCAATGTCTCAGCATAAGCTCAACTTCATCTGACATGCTTTTGTTTCTTGTGAATTTTTTGGCACAGTAATTACAGGATTTTTTGTTGCAAATTGCAACAATAATAGTACTATAATAAATTATCGTTAAAGAGATTCGCTAAATGATCTAAAATTTAGCTATCAGCTTCATTCTCGATATGGATGCATGCCGAAATTGTATTTAATATATCAGCTTGTTTGTTAAGCAAGAATATTAAACTGCGATTGTGAACTTGCCGAATTTTTATTAATAGAGAATTTGTAGACTTGGTCGATTGTCTCTAGAACTACTGGACCAATTTTAGTGAAACTTGATATGTACATACATTGATACAATATAAAACAAATAAAAATTCAACCATTGCAATACACACGCATGATCTTGCGCAACACTCGTTGGAGTCGGAAGGTATGAAGTAGCGGTTGCAGAATAAACAAAAAAAAAAAAGGGTGTTAATAAGGGGTACGGTCCCCTTTTACAGATATACGGGCCTTGCAGCGTGATTTTATACTTGAAATAAGGCACTTTATCATTTCCTGTGGCAATTGTTCTGAATTGTCCTGTGGCAATTTCATACCTTCCGACTTCAACGAGTGCTACGCGAGATCATGCGTGTGTATTACAATTGTTGAATGGTTATTTGTTTTGTACTGTATCAATGTAATGTATACCTATCAAATTTCATTAAAATCAGTCCAGTAGTTCTAGAGTTAATCGACTAAGTCTGTTAATTCTCTTAATTTCTTACAGCAGTGTATATACAGTCCCTGACCAAATTATTAGACGCACTGTGGTTTTTTTTAAATAATTACATGATTTGTACGAGTTTATATGGAATACTTTTATATTTAAGCATGCATGTCATGGGTTTTCATTTAGAGATTTTTCATATACTTCCTATTTGTATTTATTTTTAATGTATTGCATTACAGTGATAACCAATTGATACACTAACGTAAACAAGTGCAAACCGGTTTCAGTCGCGTGCGTCAGTTGCTGATGTGTTTCTGTGACTTTATGCGCTGCGTTCATTTGTTTCGCAGCTTTATACGACGCAGTTATTTGTTTATTCTGTGTGCAGTGTTGAAATGATCAATTGGAACGTTTTCATCATGGGTAAAAATGGCGATTTTTGCACCATATAAAAAAAGCTGATATGAACCTGAGAAAAGCTTTCACCGTATAAGAAGGTCCTCGTGAATGCTGAAATATTTTCAACCCGAGAAATTTCACGAAGTTTTCTGAAAGCTAGCGTGTGACGCATAAAAAAGAAAATCGAGTCAGGGTACGAATTGAGCGTGAAACGAAGTAAAAGATGCGGCAGAATTTTGTAGTGCTTCTTATAATTTGGCCTGGGACTGTATATGTAAAATAAAATGAAATTAAAACCGAGCTAGCTCGAAAGAAAAAGCTCTTGGTACAATGCCTTTTTACAAAGAAGATTTCTGACATAATTGCCGAATTAAAATACAAATTTAAGACAAATTGACAATTAATAATGTACAGATTTTCATGACACTTTATACTGGATTTCGGACTGTTTGTTCTGAAGTCTTCGGTAGTGTTCGAATCGACCGTTATGACGGAAGGAAATCGCTACATAGATTGAGCACGTAATTTCATGTTTTAGGGCATATTTTTCAAAAATTGTTGTGAAAACAAAATATCATCACTGAATTACAATCAGGTACCAAACCAAAAATCATGCCGCTTGCTATTTTTAAGATTTTCTTGGCTGTTACTTTTTAACGTGAAAATTAAAATTTTTTTTTAAAAGTTTGAATCTTATTTTTATACATATAATTACATAACTAATAAATCTAAGATAGGTCATTTGTTATACTATTCATGAGAAGGTTGACTATTGATAGGTCATAGGTCATTTTATTAATATGCATATAATTAATTTTTCTTTTCAGATAGGACTAACCATAAAAAAAAAGGAAAACATATGAAAATTTGACTGAGTTGAATCTAAACTTTTGATTAAGTGAGTTATCTTTTTCTCTTTCAGTTTAAAAGTAATTGTTATGCATACCAGTATATTCTAACTCTGTTTTAAAGGTAATTTTTTATTTAAAAGTTAAATTTCGGGTTTATCTAGAATTAGTTGAAGGAAAGTGGTTTACACTAACTATTAACTCTCACTAACTAACTAATTAATGTTGTTCGATTATTGTTATATGGTTGCAGTAGCCTTTGTAGAATAACCTTTTATTATTCAAAGGAAATCATGAATTAGTACAATAATGCTTATATTAATAGCTAGCATGCAGTTTCTCCAAAAATCACACTGTAGTTCCGACTTGATGACGTTTTGTAGTTCAAAATGACAAAAACAATAAAAATACATCTGTAGGTGATCTTTTGAAGAAAACTAAAAAACAGATTTATGTGAGCAACGCCTTGCCAAATAAAATGGCATCGAAAACATAATGCAACGAAACATTTAGAAGTTGCATAAACTAAACAATAGCATATCATGAAAAAATATCATTACAATAACAAAAAAAAAAATATAATTGAAATATAAAAACGTAACGATATGTACCGTAACATACAACATCGCCCATCTAGGCGACTAACTTTGTTGATATTTTATCGGGTACCTTAAAATATAGAATAATCCTCCATTTGGTTACCTCCAAACGTCGTCAAGCGTGGGTGGCGAACTTGATTGCCTGCTGAATCTTAGTTTACCAAGCAGAAGTGCGTCTTTCTCTTTTCGGCCATTTGGAATAAGTTAAAGTTAGGTTTATTGTCCGGTATTTCCTAAAATAACAATTTCCATATTAAATGTAAAATTCATAACCACTTCAGGAAAAAATTGATAGTAATTATAAAATACTAGAAAAGAAGAAATACTTCCAACGAAAATAAATAATATATCTGCTGAAAATACAAGCATGCATTCTGTACGCATCTGCAAACGATATAAAAAATCCATTCCCTCAGGGAGTTAGCATGCAATTAAAGATAGAGCCTAAAAATGGTGACTGGTTCTGAATAATGCGTTACAAGCTTATAGGAAAAATAAGGCGCATCATAAAAATTGAAAATTGGATAGCAACTCTTAGCTTGAAATGTAATCGATTCACTAGATCAGTTATCAATTATTCATGCAGTCGATAAAATGTGGAGTTTCTAGATATATTATTTAAATTAATGTTTAATTAAAGTAAGCATAATATTTTTTATTCCAATAACATTCAAACTTACTTCTAAAACTTGAAGAATTAAAAATTCATAAGTTCATGAAATAAAGCTGAAATATGAAACGACGAATGTAAAATAGAATTTAAATATTGGGCGTCTCGAGAAGAAAACTATTGCAAATACATTTCTCCCTCTGAAAACGACAGATTGTCCCTGAATAAAATATTTAAGAATCTTTAGATTAAATCTGAATTATTCTTTCAAGTAAAAAAGAACATAAATTTTGCTAGTTCTGTTATGAAATACCGTTTGGAAAGTAAGAAAGCGTGATTCAGGGGTTACAAGCTTCGAAGGAAGGTACACTCTAAAAAATTTTAGTGTATCTCGACACCAAAAGTGGTGACAACTACTTTTCACCAAAACGATGTTGAGAAACACCATAAATAACTCTTCACTGTAAAAACTGTGGTGGAATATCTTTCCGTTGTCATTGTAGTTGTTACTCGTGTCACTTGCCAATACCAGCAAACCAGCTTTTTATTAAATGAATTTTTAAGGCAAACTGCTAATTTTTTCAGTGGCGCCATCTATGGCCAAGAATATGACTCCAGTCACACACATCACAGCCCGTTTTACAGTGAGGACCTATGTATACTTCACTCATTCATCCACAGATCGTAATTACCTGAGAACGATCAATATCCGATTCAGTACCCCCAACGGTATTTGATTTTATATTTCATAACCGTCGCTGAACAGCCGACCCAATTTTTAATTTTACGACTACTAATGTTCAACTCCGTATCCTTTTAATTTGAACCCAACCCATAAGACAAGAGAACTCCTGAATCAAGTATCGGGAGAAATTTTTACCTTCATGGAAAACTTTTTGATAGAACTAACCCGTATTTGCGTTACATGAAGAGAAAAATCACGAGAGCCTTACACGATTAGCCAACGGCAAGGGGACTCTAACCCATGATCCGTCAACCACTGAAGATATTTCGTGTCAGCACTGTCATCGGTGCAAGCCAGATGCGGAATTCGCGTCGACCAGCCATCGCTGGGATTCGAACCCGTTCACCTCATTGGAAGGGAAACGCTCTATGCCCTGAGCAATTGCGGCTCCCCCAACGGTATTGATTTGTTCTGGGAACTTGGAGGACTTTATGACCCCAACAGATTTAACGCGCATCAGTCACCATGTAATACACGGTGATTCTTCAATCATCGGGATTCGAACACAATGAACACTAGCCCAACGTCCTATCAACCAGGCTATCCCGACCCTATCTTTCTGTATATGATGATAAACTACCCAAGTTGCGTGATAGAACACTTTATTTTCAAGTTAACACCAAATTGAACTTTCATGTTCAATTTAAACTGTGTAATTTAAATCTAAATACATATGGGAAGAGCTTGCACCAAGCTTATGCTCATTCTCACCATACATGAATTATTTTTGTTTCCAAAAATATCAACACTGGCGCACTTTATATAACATCAGTAGATTGTGAACATATAATCATGTACGAGTTGGCGTGAGTTTGTTGTTTTCTTCTACGATGTTATAAATCGCCAAAAATAATATTTCTCTGTTAAAATATGCATGTATGTTTTTAATTGTGTAATAAGGATAATTATATTTTAATTTTTAATTCACACTCCTTCAATCTCATGTGGCATTAAAACTAGTTTTACTGTTTTTAATCATGTCTTCTCAAATGTCATTCATTAAATTTTAATAAGTTTTTCTGCCTCGTCGCTGAAATGTTATTTATCCATTCTTCTTGTGTGCTGTAGTTTTAACTTTATTTCTGAGAAAGATTTTTTAAAATGGATATTAAAGGTATTGTTTACGGAGTAACCGGCAGCAGTGGTGTATTTTTTAAATCTTTAATAATTATTTTATTAAATACACGGTGAAATTTCTATATTAAACAGTATATTGAAATAGCTTAAGTATTGAGAAATCCTTCAAACAAACAAAACAGACAACTCCGTTGCTTTTTTGACGTTATCCTAAACTTTAAGTTTACTATATCTCATCAAACATTTCTAAAAAAAGAATAAAAATCACCAACAAAAAAAAGATTAATTAGATTTGAGAATATGTACTTTAAAGAAGGTCATTTCAACGTAACCTCGGACAAAACATCTGTGCAATCTAAAAGTAATAAATATATACGCAATTGTCATCAATTAAAATAAAACTAATAATACCTGATATTAAAATCAAAACAAACTATCCTTTTTAAAGATCACACATTTACTTTTATCACGTATTTTTTATGAAGAATATCTGCATTTTAGCACTAAAACGACGGATAGGGTCAATTTGGTTCCGCTTGTGTTCTGTCTCTCTGTAATTCAAAAGCAAGTTACTGAAAGAGTTGAGTACTTCTAACTTTTCATAATTTGATCTAATTTAAGTGCTTATTAAATCATTCATCTATTAGCCTTACAGAAACGTATATATAGAACGCACTGGTCCATTCAGTCTCTTTAGGTATAAAGCAATGTCCAGTCTTTCTAGAATTAACAATAACGAAAATTCATATCACCTAATCGATCTTTACGCAAACATCAAGAAAGGTTCTTAAATTACATTTATTTAATTTATTTTTTACAACTCTCCAAAATCTCAAGTTTTTTTTCGTTGAAAAAAAGCTAAAATTGGCTCAGATGATTAGTAAAATACTGACTTAAAACACATAAATAGTACAAAAATGGAACTTGCAGAATACTCGTGGATTCATTCCTCTAATTTAACATGGTTGAATATTACCTTATTCTTATTAGTACAATGTATAGATGCTTTGTTCCAGAACTCACTAGTAGAGATTATGAACGCCATTTTCATCATCCTTCATCTAAATCTTTAATGACTAGCGCCTTCAATAATTGTCAAATTCACCTGTTTGACCAGCGCGGAATCTCTCAAATGGAATAAAACGCTTCAGATTATGCATACTATTGATGCGTATGCACTTATCCACTGTAAAGGCGTTTTACATTTATATAAATGTAGGCATGATCTTCGAATTTGAGTAGATGATCTTTAATGTATTAGGATGGTTTATTCAACATAACGGTTGGAGAATTACATAGCAACTTCGAATGAAACTTTAGTTGTCATATTTATAGTATTTGAAGTATTTAGTGCTGTTACTATTATTACTATTACTTTTGTTACTATCACTATTATTACTTTTACTATTATTACTATTACTATTATTACTATTAAAACTATTATTATTACTATTATTACTATTATCATTTTCTTTTCTGGTTTAGTTTACATATGACTTTTGATAAAATCGTCTTTTGTAATAACGTAGGCATTTCTATTAGTTAAACAACACTGGGGAACAATTGCTTTTTATTTTTTGTAGCATAAGAATTTTTAATAGATCTTAGAAACTTTCGTATCGTTCATTTCAAATCTTCAATCGGTGTCCCTCTTACCTTTTAAATTTAAATTTTTTTTCTATTTTTTGCCGAAATGTGCAAGTTTAAAAACGTTATATATAACGGGGGATTGCAAGGATACTGCGACAAACTTTCAGAGGAGTTAGGGGACATGATCAGGATTAAAATTGCATTGGAGCTCATGATCGGAAATGTAGTCATACACCACTAGGGGCGTTTCTTCCTATTACGAACTGTTTCTTAGTGTACTTTTGAACAGTTCTTTGCATTCTTACTTTTTTTCAATGTAAATTGGTAGGTGAGAACAGTCATATGACCACAAAGGGGTTAATTAACAAAGAAATCATGATTTCTATGAAAAAATAACATGAAAAAATAATACAAATTATAAAGAGGTATTTTTTCATTTAAAAAAAGTTACTCGTATTATTTACTTATTCTTCTTTCTCAGCATTGTTCTCATCCATTATTAAGTTTTTGTTTACAATGCAGAACAAATTTTCGGTTGTATTTATGCAAATACTTGATCTTGCCTAATTCAGGTGTTGGTATTTCAAATACGAAATTTGTTTCTCTCTTAAAACTGCAAACTTTTTTAGGGCACATCATCAGGATTAAAGATGCATAGGAACCCATGTCTGGAAATTTCGCTTCCCTATTATGATCTGCTCAGAAGCATCTGAAAAAATTGCTCATATAAGAGATGCGCTCCTAGCAGCGTTTGATGACATTTCCGGGCATGAGTTGCTGTGCAATTTAATTCTGATGATATACCTTAACTCTCCCCAGAAGCCTTGGCTAAAAAGCTTAGAAAAATACTGCTAAGCTAAAAACTGCTTTATATGAAGTGTTTTTTGTTTACTTTAAAAAATGCAAACTTGACTTACTTTCATATTCGTATAAGTCCTTTCCATTTTGTTTCGAAACAAATACAACAACAATTCATTTTTCCCCCAAACAGAGGAAACTATATCAACAAATAGAAAAAAAATGAAATAACAATTCATTACACTTTAAGGTTTTACTCACTCAAAATGAACTTATATGGAGTGTTTATGTATTAAACGACATACTTTCAACTACTGGGTATTTTAAGTCAAAGTATGAACTATGAGAACTATTATATACTTCCTCACTTAGCTTTATATAAAATAAAAGTTTCTTTTGGCTAAGTATGAAAAAATGTCATTATTAGGTTATAGTTTTTATGATAAAAACAACCATTAAAAAAATCAATTCAGTTTTATAAATTATGATGGATACCTTGTCATTTTATTGAATGTCTGATGTCTTTTATACCTTTTCGGTTTATCATTTGATACGCTATAGCAGTGGTGGTTAATCTATAACCCGCGGGTCAGACCAACACCTCCTAGAAGAACGAAGGCCTCAGCACGGATCAATTTAGTAGTCCGACATGATAAACATAAACTGCGTAGTCCATGAAAAAGAAGAAAAATGTCATTACGTTTGGACTACTAAAGGATTAAATTTCTTGTTTATGGTAACCCGTGCTGAGGCCTTCTCTTTTCTAGGAGCTATTGGTCAGACACTGACCAATTAAGACTTTTGAATGATTTTTATAAACGCATTTTGTTATCACGAATGGGAACAGACAATTGAAAAGGCTAAATAATTGAAGTGTATTTATCTAATATTGGGTTGATAAAAAATATTTTGAAATGGGCATTGACCAAGTAATTTTATACGGTACATCATTGAATTTGTGTATGAGACATGCGTACACATGTAGAGTTATAATAAAACATTTTTTTTTATTTAAGGTTTTATCATTTTCTTTCAAATAACGATACTTTTTCTAATCGAAATATCGTATTCTGTTTTGTTTTTATTTTTTAATTTAAATAACAGGAAGAACACTGGTTAAAAATTTCGAAATTTCATTTTAACTAATTCATTAATTTAAATAATTTCTAATTAAATAATTTAATAAAATTAATTTTTTAAAAATTCATTTTGAGAATTTCTGATAACTTTTCATGTTTTTCTGTTCACAAATTTTCACTATTTCTGAAAGTATTGGCACTTTTTTTACCCTTTAAAAATGGCGCCTCTGACTTAATGACCATCGAACTATTTTTTTTAAATAGCGAACAAAATTTGACATATTTCTCGAAAAGATTCTAAGTAACGGCACTATTGATTGCCTAAACAATGTTTAAAATGTTCAACCGTTTTGTACTCTGTTGATCAAGTTTTGACTTTTTATGATAGATATTAAATGAAATTATTGATTTTAAACTTTTTTCATAACATGTAAAACTGATTGCAGTTTATTGAATTTATGGAGTATATTTATTTTTTGGATTAAGGCGGGTTTGACAGCATCGATGCATGCTAGTTATCTTCAGACTTTAATTTGTTTTTTTTTCCCTACCTCTAACATTTTCTATTGAACCACACGTTGTTTCTTGCATCTTTTGATCTTTGTTAACTTCAATATGTATTATTATTAGGGCTTTAAAATGGAGTCTGCGTCTTATATGGTTTAATCTTCCTTAGATAAGTACGAATTTCGCAACCAAGAGGCTTCTAATGATCTTTTTTCCAGTTTTCCTTTTTGCATTTGCTCCAAGATCAGTTTAGAAGCAGCATTAAGTTTTCCTCAAGGTCGCTTTTTCACTATTAAATTCAACATAAAAATGCTTTGTGTTTGGCGCCGAACAATCACATCTGGCTTTTTTTCCCCATTGATTGTTGTACTTTCATTTTCAGTCATGTATTGGAAATGTAGAAGAATGTTAAACAAAATCAATGGAAACTCTTGACTAAATTTCCGAGGTTAAATATTTTCTCTGAAATACGTTTATTTTAATAAAAACAATATTTTCAGAAAAACTTAATAATTTTTTGCGTGCTATTGTACTTGTCAGGATAGAAGTCTAATTATATTCATTTTAATCATGCTCTATTTTTTGTCATTCTATAAACACTGATCTTTAAGAGAGCGAGATTATCTTCTCTGAAAGTAAGAAAATTAAGATTAAGTATTCATGATTTCACTTTAAGATAGCTACAAAAATTTTAATAATGTGTTTACAAAAGAAAAATTTTGACATTTTTAAGTTTAGGAAACCGGAGATAATTAAATATTAAATTCTTTATTAAAAAAATAGCTTTTTGCTTTTTTTTGAAAAATAAAAGCTAAGAAAAACTACGAAGCATTACGGAACACAATCCAGGAAATTTGAAGTATGATTTTTTCATTCATGAATTTAATTCATAGATTAAGAAAATAAGTATGCAGTTATGAATTAAAAATAAATTCTTTGATCTATAGTTTCCTTAAATCGTTTGTTATTTCATACATTTATAATTGATTTATAAATTCTTATTTATTGTTACCAAACACTTCGTTTTAAATATTTTTTGAATTATAAAAATAGTTTTAAATTACTAATTTTAATGTATTGTACTTTATTAAAAATATGTGCAATTTGAATACTTTTTTTAACTTAATTATCAAATTTAACATAACGTTAATTTCATATGAATAAAAGTAATTCCACTGTTTACTGTGTAATTAATTTTTTTTCCAAAGAAACTAGAAATCCTGGACTTCAGAAATAAAATTTCATGCCTAAAATTTTCATCGAAAGTAAAGTTATTATAAAAGGATATTTATAATGAAATATTGAAACAGAGAAAAAAATTAGCTTTGGTAGCCCAGTGGTTAGAAGATTGGACTCCGGTTCGAAAGGGCCAGGGTTCGATCCTCGTGACTCTGCTAAGACCCACCGAGTATATACAATATACGAGCTCGTAAAATCAGTGGAATCCGAAGTCTCATTGTTGGTCGCTGAGCAGAGCCATGGGTTCTGGGATCCGGAAAAAATCTCTTTCCCCTTCAGATATACTTCAAAATTGTGTAAGTGGACTCACGAATAAGTGGTGCTGCCATCTATACGAAGGATTTTAAGCTCAGTCATACGTTCACCCCTGTGCTGCTCGTTTGTCAAGTGAAAGGAGCACCCCCTGATCTAATTCGCAAAGGCGTGCTAGGCTTGTCCAAGTGTAATAAGAAACAATGAGAACAGAAGTGAACAAAAAGTAATTTTTGCTATTGTGGAATATAAATATCCTAGTCTTGCAAGATTAATCTTGGAATTAAATATTTTAGTTTTGCGAGATTACAATTTGAAAACTAAATTACTTAATAGTTACCGTACATAATTTTTAGAGGATATTTTAATTTTAACGTAACCAGGCTTTTGTAACTAAAAAATGACATCTAGAAATCAACAAAATAATATGTTTAGATTGTACAAGGACCAGCTATTAAAGATTTCCAGGAATTAAAGAAAAAATCAAATTCCTCGCGAGAAACAATGAATTTTAACTGTACAATTCAACTTCTTTTGTAGGAAAATATACCTTGTTTTAGAAATGACTTTTACTTACAGAGAAAGGAGTTTTCTACTCTAATGGCAAATCAAGTAAAAAAAATTTTTTTTTGTCGAAATAGCAATACTCTTTCTCAATTGATTTCAGCGCCAGACTTAACTATTATTAAACTAACTATTATTACTATTATAAAACTATTACTATTGTTAACTTAACTATTATTAAGAGCTTAACTATTATTAAGGTTCATAAGTTTATAGTTTTATTTTACCTTTTTAACTTTATTCTTAGTCAAGTTCAATGTAACCATTTGGTTAGTTGTTTTATATTAAATCATTGAATTCTTAGATGATTTAAAGATCCTCTTTAAACATTTATTGTCTTAATTAAGACGAAAGTACAAATACGATTTATTTTAAATAATTTACGTTTCGCATAATTGTTTTTTGTTCTGAAATATATTTTTTTTACTGAATAAAATATATATTTATAATATTGGCATGCATGCACCATTAATCTTTTTAAATTAATCGGAAAATTTATATGGAAATGCGTTATTGCTTATGCTTACTACTTAGACACTTTTCTATAAATTATTAATGAGCAGTGCTTTTTTTTTGTTTTTTGTAGAATTTATCATATGAAAAAATGAAATAAACAATACATTAAATTAGCTGTGGTAAAGGGTTTACTTAAAAAAGTGTAAACAGAAAAGTAATAAATAATTCTTTCCGCATTTTCTCATCTCAATGATGCACTATATTGTATTTAAAGTAAAGCGTTTTATTAATTTCATATGTTTATGAAATTTTCAAGAAATTTTATGCAATTTTCGATTTACGAAATTTTATTACTCGATTATTACCCTAGTATACTGAGAAGAATGTATATTCAAAACTACCAGAATATGATCAAGTTTACAGTGTTTCTGGATTTAGGGAAATTCTAAAAAGCACGGTAATTTTTACCGAAGAACTTTGGTGAACGTTTTAGTAAATTTAACAGTAAAATAGGGTTCTATAATATGTGATAAAATTTGGTATATGGGGTTAAATATGATAATTTTATCATGATAATTTTAACTTACAACATGCCATAAAAACTATTTTTCGGTTACATTTACTTTTCAGTTTTACTGAAGTCGTGATAAAAAGAATTATAATTATGAAAATCAGAATTTATTGTACAGAATTTATTGTTACCATATGAATGGAAAAATTATCTATTGAATGGTTTAAAAACCGTATATTTTGGTTTTTATTACCAGAATTATATATTTTTTTAAATCAAAAATGAGATTACTATGAAGTACGGTAATTCTGTAAGAATTCTTTCTTCGTGTGTGTGCTTTGTTTAATTATTTATAACTACAGCTATTTCTTTTTAAGAAAAAATACATAAAAAACTCATGATAAACCAGGAAGAAAAATCTTTAAAGATAACTTTACTAAGTACTATTATTAAAACCTTTTTTCAAGGAAAAAAAAAACGTTTGAACGTGAAGAAAGTTTAAGTTTCTTTTAAAATTTAAAAAACATAATTGTTAAAACATTTAAAATATTAATGTAATTAAGTTCTTTTACTACACGTAGATATTAATAAAT